ATGAGGGTGGGGGAGGTTCAATTTGCCATGTTGCAAGGAGAGCTTAGCTTCTGTCTGGCTAGCTTGCCCTGCGCTCAGTGAATCTGCGTTCGACTACTCCGCCTAGGCTGCACTGTCGAGCGCAGATCCACTGAGCGCTCAACACAGACAGCATCGTCAGAAGGAAAGTTGATAACATAAATTAAAAATTCTGTATTGTTCGATACGTATGTGTACCGAACCGAAAGCACTGTATCGAACGGTTCAATATCGATACGAATATCGTTGCACCCCTAGTTAATACTGTCCATATGTATATAGTGCTGCAGAACTGTGGATAACATAACAAACGTCATGTTTGGGGGTCCTAAAGGCACTGCACATCACCCCCAAAACACCAACAACGGTGAAGTTTGGATCATCATAGTGTGGGGCTGTTTTTCAGAATATGGCACTGGCACACTTCATATAACTATAGCAGGGATAAATGGAAAAATGTACCAAGACATTCTTGCTAAAAATATGCTGCCATCTACCAGGACCATGAAATGAACGTGAACGTTTCAGGAAGACAACGATTCCAAGCACACTGCCAAGGAAACTCTCAATCACCTGACCTGAATCCAAGCCCTTGAGCCCTTGAGTAAGTCAGAGTCAGAGTTGTGGTTCCACAAGTGCTTAGAGGGCAGTTGTACTGAGATTTTTCTCCTTCCTTTCCTTTTAAAATACACCTCAAACTTCTGTGCTGCTGTATCTTTATAGTGTGGCTAGTATATGTTGATAACCTTCGGAACTATTGTGAGGCTCCATGCTACAGATTTGATCAATCAAATAATTGACTGTTATTTCCTCAGAATTCTGGAAAGAAAAATAAGATGTCCCCACTTTTTCTTTTTCCAGCGGCCCTAATCATCTTTTGTACCATGCTGCCACTGCTGGAGGGGGAAATGACCTATTGGAGTGAATGGAGATGCCGCAACTCTCCCATTCAACGGCTCTGGAAAGATCTAAAGCTCAGAGTTCACTGAACCTTTGGGAGTAGAAGACTGATTGTGTGGCCAAAGTCACGCCTGAGCTTCTCCATACAGGAGGCGCCTTGAAGCTGTCATCACCAAAAAAGGCTTTGGTACAAAGTATTAAATGAATCTCACTAAGTGTGTGCAATAATCTTTTTCCTGTGTCGTATTTTCATTTTTACACATAACTTCATTGTGGACATCTATGGTTGGATTTCTTTGTACGTGTGGATTTGATTGGTTATTACTGGCATCTGGTGAAAAGTTCATGCCAACACCTTTACAAAAATATTTACTTAGCGAATGTGGTGATGTGTTCAATACTAATCTTACCTGCTGGGGCTTAATTAATGGATGTGTGCGCGTGAGTTAACTGGAGGAACCACATTAGCCAGTGTGATGCCAATTTAGCATTGGTGCCTTCTGAAAACATTTCAACACGTTTGAGAACTTGTTATTACCGAGCATTAACATCTGGGTTATTTTGTTTTTTGTTGTATTTTTGGGGTATTAGCAATTGGAGGGAAAAAATCAATTTAATCCACATTGAAGTACAGTTTCACCATCTCATCATCTTAGTGTTAAACTGACACTGGAAGTGTCAGTTTAGTTACAAGGAAGTTATTTACTTGGGCAGCACAGTGGTGCAGTGGTTTGCACTGTTGCCTCACAAGAAGGGCCTGAGTTCAATTCCACCATCAAGCCAGGGATTTTCTGTGTGGAGTTTGCATGTTCTCCTTGTGTTTGCATGGTCTTCTCTCCTTGGACTCTGGTTTCCTCCCACAATCCGGTAAGGATACCGGATCCCATACCATCCAATATGATATGGTATGGTATCCAAAGAAGCACAGTTAGTGGGGTTAGGTTAAATTGCCCATAAGTGTGAGCATGAATCTCAGTGTGTTAGCTCTGCGACAGGCTGGTGACCTGTCCATGGTATACCCTGCCTCTTGCCCTAAGACAGCTGGGACAGGCTTCAGCCCCCTGAGACCCTGAATTGGATAAGAGGAGGAGAATGGATGGAGTGGATCTTTTAGCACATGAACACAGCGGGATAATAAGAAAGATAAGACCAACTGAAGCTTTGTTCAGAAGCTTGGGCACAAGGAAAAAAACATATAGACTTTGGTGAGTTGGTTGAATTTGTACAAAATGAAATGCCTGGTAATGGACAAGGACATGGATGGTTACACTCTCGTGCAATAAACAGGATGTATGTATCACAAAACACGATAAGATGGCCGATCAGTTTGTTTTACTAACTCATCTACACAAGACGCAGCAGCCGTGGCAGTTTGTCCTGCAACAACAACTGTAATCTCCACTCTTTGACTTTCTTATGGAAATAGTATTTCACTTTTTTCATTGTTTTTTAATTATTGTAAGTAGTACTTACAGTTTTTTACAGACGCTAGGACACATTTCTCAATACTTACGTCACGTTTGCAAAACTCCTCACACAGTGAGCACAACAGAAGTCTATGTGGGCTAAACTGAGGACCAGTTATCATTGTTTTGGCACAAAATGCATTCAATGACTACATCTCTCAAATCTCATTAATTATTTTCTCACTCAGACACAACAACTGCCAACAATCTTTGTACGTACAGGACATTTTGCATGTGCTTACATACTGTTTTCAAAACTGTTAAACTTATGGCCAAAACAATAACACA